TTCTGCTGAACCTCATTCATGAATTCCATGCTCTCAGATCTTACAAATTGTGTGCACCATCACGTTGGTTCCCGTCCTGCCCACGAAGGTTAGATGTTAGGTGACATTGCCTTAGATCTCTAGGATACATACAGCCAGACTTTGCCACTGTCTGGAAGCCCTTGCAATTACCAGGCGATCATGTCACGCTGGCCACCTTCAGATTTGGCGGTCGTTGTGGATGTCGCGTAGCAGTTCCACGAGTTCGGTCGCGTGTTAGATGTTGGGTTGCTCCGTGTCACGTGGGGCCCAGAACTGCGGGTCGCAGGGCAGGAGGAGTTCAGCTGGGGATCAAGCTCGTTGTGTCGTGGGTGGAGGAAGATAGGCAGTCTCACTTCCCAGTTCCTCTGTTGCGACGCCAAGTCTTCTCGCAGGTGTTCCGCGCCCGCTGGACCATGCCGTCCGAGTCCGAGTGTAGGGGGGTACTTGTGTCTGGCTCACTTAACGGCCACTGTCACTGTGTCGCTCTAGGGATACTCCTAAGCGGCAGAAGGTGGACACCACGGTTTCCTCAACCGTCCACGCTTCTTGGTTGGGGAAGGCTTAAGACTTCAACCACTTGGCGGACGATAACAGGATATCGGTTCTCTCTCTGTGGGAAGGGGCCCGCTGCTCTCGAACGGAGCCCTGACCCTTGTTTCTCTGGTCTGTGCAGATGTCGCCGTGCTGACACCAATTCTCGAAATGCTTCCTTGCCTGGAATCATTAGTATTTATTGTATGGCCTTGACACCCATGTGCCCTCCTGAACTACCACCACGGATTTCTGCTAGTGCGTCTACACCGAGGGAGGACCGACTGAGCTATTTCGGATCGTCTGTCGGAGGACTTCAGTATGCCGTCACTTGCTGCAGGGGACTTCTGTTGCTCCCTGTAGCCCTTGTACGTGATGCTGCGGTTGGTAATGTCGTTTCATTATGGACATGGTCCAGTTTGTGCCCCTTCCAAAATGGTCTCCACTTCTCTAGACAGGCCTCCATGTTTTCTTCGCCGACCGTCACCAACTACCGAGTTCCCATCATTTGGCCCAGCAAGTGTTCTGCTGTTTTCTCCCGTTTTAGTAATATGACGATATAACGATCTGTTGCAGACTTCGGTACGATATTTCAGTCAATGCTTTTTCAATGATGACACCTTTTGTCACGTGATAGTGAAGTAGACACGGTGATTCGGTCGATAATTGGAATCACTGGACGTTTGTGACACACACTAATCTACACACTGTACCCATCACCTCATCACACCTAAATATTAGGAGTTTATCATGACTTCACTGGTCTCTGCTAGGTAACGGCCTCTTAAGCCTCGGTGTTAAGTTACTCATTATGTTAAGTTTTTCCCTTTTCACCGAAACATGATTCGTCTTGAAGATTTTTGAAGGGGGACTTGGTCATCAGAATTGAAAAGTAGCATTAAAATATTGAATTAGCAGTTTTTGTTTAGTCCGATTGAAAAATGTTATTTTACGAAACTAAAATTTAAATGTAAGTGGAGAAAATCATGGGAAAGAACCTGATAAATTGATATATTTTTCTTCTTCAAATAACCTGTCAATATATCAAGTAGCAGAGCTGTGAATGGCGTAATATAAAAAAAAAAGATATGAAGGGGAAAAACATTATTTTGTTTAAATTAATACTTCGGCAGATAACTCTTGTTAAATCAGTACAACTGTACGTGTTGAGGGGTTTATTCATTAAATAAGTGTCATGTTACATGCCAACGATATTTTCGAACATGAAGGTCTATTGAGATTTAAAGGTTTAGAATTACTTACGTAAGAAACGGCTAGAAATAAAACTGAACACACACAATTCAATAGGTGGTGTCACTGACAGATGGTTCAGTAAGTAATTTTTAGCAGGATCAGTAACAGCCCCATTTAACATTCAGACATACAGGAAAGCTTGAAGTGGCATGAATGAAATTTGTAGGAGTTTTACTTGTACCTACAAAATAGATGACAGAAATTCAGATATCTGAATTAGAAAATAGAATTGAAGACTGCCAAGAGATTTGGGCACGTCGCATAATGTAACGCCTCACACAGAGTGGAGACAAAACACCTGGAAGCCTGAAGAAAAGACAGACATATCAGTACATGTTGTAGATTTTGGAATATGCAGTGAAGTTTAATATTGCTTAGCTTATGTTAATAGTTATTTGAACGATCCCCTCTCGCAGATGATGTAAGGCACACAAATTTGCGGTTAGGAAATACGGTCAAAATGCAGGGATTCAAAACGGTGCCACCTGAATACAGTCTCACCACATCTTTCTCGCTGTACAGGCACAGCACAGAAGTGGCAAATTGAGTGCATTTCTGCTAAGCTGACCACATAAAAATAAGTTTATTATAGCGGTCTGGATAGTTCAGTCGGTATAGCGACAGGGTCTGAGTGAGACTCCCCGTAGGGACAAGATTTTCTCCTCTCCATGTCATCCAGACTGGTTATGGGACCCACACACCCTCCTGTCCAGTGGGTACTGCGTGCTCTTTACCCTAGATAAAGAGGCCGGGGCGTGAAGCTGATCACTCAACTGTAACTAATTCCGATGCCAAGGAAACGTAGTGCTTAATTAGTTAAATATAGGTAGAACTAACCCTATATTACACCAATCCAACGCCGGAATGATTCAGTTGGTAAACTGATATGTTATATGCTGGACGATAGGACTTCCCCCCCAGAAAGGGCTGTGCATTTTATTGTTTCCACGTGATCCATACCGCTCTGAAGCCCATCTAGGCTCCTCACTCACTCACTCACTCTCACACACTCATGGAGCTGAGCCCTTCATGAGAAGCTGCCAATTGTGCAGCTACTCAAGAAGTTTCCAGCAATTTTTGGAACCCGGAAGTTCATTACAGTGTTCACAAGAGCCCCCGCTGTTCATTCTCCTGAACCAGATCAATCCATATCATCCCATCTTATCTCTGTAAGTTGTTAATATTGTCCACCCACTTACGTCTTCGTCTTCCCAGTGGTCTCTTTCCTTCTGCATTTCTCACCAATATCCTATATGCATTCCTCATCTCCTCCATTCGTGTTACATGATCTTCCCATCTCATCCTCCTTGACTTGATCACTCTAATTATACTTGGAGAAGAGTACAAGTTATGAAGCTCCTCATTATGCAGTTTTCTCCAACTTCCTGTCACTTCATTTCTCTTCGGTCCAAATGTTCTCCTCAGCACCCTCTGGAGAATTTTCGGACACAGTCTTTCTATGGGATTAAAGCGGCCAGAACGTGAAGCCGACTACTTAATCTACTCAATGAATTTATTATGTTTGTGCGGAGCTTTACTTCCTCTGCCCCGCGTGTTGCATACGCGTACAACAGTAAGTTCGCCCTACACCAGAGATGCAACAGAACCCGGATAAAGGCGGCATTTTGGGAGGGAATAAAGTTTCAAGACTCCGCGAGACTTGTTCCTTATGTGCCGTGACGTTTGAGTTCAAAGGACGAGGAAAATTATGACTAAAATAGGCATAATATTGGATTTGATTATGAAACGTTGAAAGTAGAAAGGCAACATGAATAATTTCATTTCACATTTCCTTTCTGTGCATGTTACTTTCTGATCCTTCATACCTCTTTCAGTGGACGCGAGAATCACGACCTTTTGCAATCCACTTTTCCAATTTTTCCATCTTTCTTTAAAATTCCCCGTATTATCTGAGCTTCTCCGTTCCCCATATGTATCACCATTACTATCTGTTGTATTGTCCGTCTGCCTGTCTCTCTGCTTGTGTGAGGCTGTGAGGATTTTCCGGGCTCCGTGGAAACAAAATCCTGGGATTTACAGCGCAGCGCGAGGCATGAGTGGAATCTTAACAAGAATGCCACAGCCCACCTAGGCGTTACGCGGAGAGTCACTGTTTCAAGTCTACAGGAAGACTAATACACTGAGACAACATCCCTCCCTGAATGGCAGATATGTTCAATAAAAGTTATATCTTCTTTTATGTGCATATTAATAAAATCGACTTCCATATGTCTCTTTAGAAACAACGGTAAGGCAATAAAGTGATGTTCAGAATGAAATTAATGATAATTTTTAATTTGGGAAGTGAACATGGAACTTTCTAATCATCCCCTGGCCTGCGTAATAACCGAAATTTTGTCATGTGTTTAGGGCTTGCATGATTTATAAGACGGGTTCTGGATTGGATCATTGGATTTATTGACACCCTATTCACAAACAACTCAGGACTACAGGCAATACAGTGCTATCGCTGATCTACACACGTTGCAGTCACCGTTACACACGCACTAGGGTTCTCAGTCTTCACTAGTCGTATCCTGGCAACAGATTTATAAGTCTCATTGTCACTTAAATCACAAATGAAGTCTTATTTTAATAGTCTAATTCCATTCTTGCCATTAATCTGCAACTATCAATTGCAACGTCGATCGATGCCTATCTCCGTTCTTGACACGATGCTGTTCCCAGATGCCCTTCTCTGCAAACGTCACAAGTATCCGAAGTTGTTTGTTAGGCAGTTTTCCTGCTTACGTAAATGTCTTAGGTCCAGATACTCGAAGTCTCTTTGGCACTGCTTTTCGGCTGTGTTCAGTCTTTGCTGCCGCCTCAACATAACGTTCCTGGTTCGCACATGTCAAAGCAACAGGTAGAACAGCCGAGTGTTCAGCTTCTCGACACAGGAAACAGTGAAATTCTGAGCCCAATGTTCATCGCCTTTCTCCTGAATTTTTTCTGCTATG